AGATCATTCCTTTCATCTGGCACCTCTGCGCATGCACAAACTGGGAACAGACTCCAGCTGTTCTTCTGCCCCACTGATGTCTGACTCTGAAGGCAGCTGATAACTGTCAGACGGTCCTGGCCCCCTCTCTGCCTCCGACACAGAGCCCTCGCCTGAGCCTTCCCCAGACTCCAGGACTGGCCCAGGTTCCTCCCCAACCTCTTCACTGTCCGAATCTGCTGCCAGCTCTGCTGGCCACTGGTGGGCCACAACAGAATCAATGTTTATGGAGATTCTCAGTCATCCAGGTCTTGGTTGTCCCAAAGATGTTTTTTTTTTCTTCAAGAGGCAACTGGAGTTTCTTGCTTTTCTTTGAAGATGTTTTGCTTCTCATCCAAGAAGCTGAAGAAGCTTCTTGGATGAGAAGCAAAACCTCTTCGAAGAAAAACAAGAAAGTCCAGATCTCAGAATCAATAAACCCACCACTTTGAAAAAGAACTTGCATCAAGCACCATCAACTTAATGTTTAAATCAATGGATTTGTTTCCCCATGTGATTTGTGCTTGGCTTTTTGGGATAGGTGAAGTTTTGTCTCTGTTGTCCCATCCTTCAAATAATCTAATCTTCTTCCGGTCTGAAAAATCCAGACACCTCCAGCCTTGGCAGTAAAAATAATTAACAACCATTTATAACGATAAATTATGCAGCCTAAGAAAGAAGAGCTGCTGTTTCATTATTAAGGAACAGTATTTAATCAATTGAGGGATTCTTTGAATTAATCCATCCAACCAATTAAATGCTGCAGCTCCGTAAATGATTAAAACCTTTTGATTTTGTGAAGACAGCCTTAGTATTATAAATCTAACATACTATTTACTCAGAGCCTCGTCTCCTTTGGGTTCAACAAGAGAATCGCTTAATAGAAAGCTTTATTGACATATTATTCATATTTTCCACTGAACTGTTCGGGTAGAAGCAAAAGATTTAAAAACATGTACAAACAAGCCCACAAATGGAGCCATTTGGCATGACCCATGAAAAAGAACTAGTGATATACACATCAGTGGGTTAGAACTAAAAACCTAAATTCCCTGAATTTATCCCAAGCAGCAAAAATTTAAAAGACAATATATGGTACAGATCTGCTACTGAAATCAGGCAGCTGTTGGGCGGGAAGAAAATATACGGGGCAATATTGATAAATTTTCGCAAGTAGATTGGCTGTCTTCTTGGAAACCTCTTTTAAATAAATCATTCAACCAGATTAACCAGAAGTTAATCTCCATTTGAGAGGAGGAGAGAATGAGAGGAAGAGGAGGGAAGGAAGGAAGAGGTAAGGAGAGGAGAGTGGAAGGGAGAGAAAGAGAAGGAGAGAGGGTAGGAAGGGGAAGAGNAGATGGATGGATGGATGGATGGATGGATGGATGGATGGATGGATGGATGGATGGATGGATGGATGGACATAGAGAGGAGGTGGTGATGGTAGAGAAGGAGGGAGGGAGGGGGAGAGGGAGGAGGTAGAAGATAAGGGATGGATGAAGGTAGGGAGGAGGAAGAGGAGTGGGGAGGGAGGAAAGGAGGAAATAGAAAGAAAGAGAGAGAGAGAGAGGAGAAAAAGGTGTTAGTGCAATCTTTTGAAATCCGAGGTCCACTTACCAGTCTTCTTTTGGGCTTTATCAGTGGCCGATTCTGCCCATTCATTTTGTGGTACAATCCACAGGCGTTACAGAGGTAATGCCCTGTGCCATCTCGCCTCCAAAGTGGGGTTGAGGTAGCTCCACAGTTTACACACTCCCTGCCTTCTGAAAACAAAAGGGGACACAGATCATTGAGGGGCAGCAAAGAAAGGAAGAGGGGGGGAGGTTGGCTGAGACGTGGTTACAACAGGGTTTCTCCACTGTGGAGATGTGATTAAAATCCCAGGGATTGGTTTATTACATTTCTATAGGTAGTCCTCGACTTACGACCATGACTGAGCCTCAAACTTCCCTTGCTAAGTGAAAGAGTCATTGAATGAGTTTTGGCCCATTTTACCACCGTCCTTGCCACCGTTGTTAAGTGAATCACTGCAGTTGCTAACTTAGACACATGTTGGTTAAGTGAACCTGACTTCCCCGTTGATTTGGCTTGTCAGAAGGTCACAAAAGGGGATCATGTAACTCTCCCCTCCCCCCCCCCAACCCCTGGGAAACCGCCACCATCATAAATATGAGCCAGTCGCCAAGCATCCAAATTTTTGTGCCTTTGGGAAGGCTGCAAGGATCCTAAGTGTGAAAAAAATGGTCATAAATCACTTTTTTCCAGTGCCGTTGTAAACTTGAAGAATCACTAAACGCAAGGTTGTAAGTCAAGGACTACCTGTATACCACCCCATCTAGGGACCCTTGGTAGTTTGCAACCATGAGAAAAAACAATGCGGCTGACGTCGCGGCGAGACAATGTATCCCGTAAGAAGCTTCGTGGGATTGTTGATATCCCAGCTGTCAGGGGGTCTTAATTGACCTAAAATCACCCCGTAGAGGTGATAAACAAGGGGGAATCATACTCTGCTGATCTCAGGGAGCCCTCAAACTCCCGTATCGATCAGGAGAAAGCTCCCCAAACTGACAGCTGGGAAGGCAGCCATTGCCAATCGCTATGAAGCTGGGGCAGCCGCAGAAGAGCGACGGAAGGAAGGTGTGATCGATCTGGGTGAGATGCAAAAATAAAATTAGATGGCTGCCTTCTCCCCAAGCGCACAATTAAAACCATAACTTAGCATTGATATGAAGGAACGGGAGCTGAGCAGCCATTTGGATTGAAAGGGGAATCGTAGGAGAACCTCACTGGTTCTGGAGAATTTTATCGATGTACACAACAGTGTGTTGAAACGCATTTTCTCCTTTGGATTCAGATCATTCCTTTCATCTGGCACCTCTGCGCATGCACAAACTGGGAACAGACTCCAGCTGTTCTTCTGCCCCACTGATGTCTGACTCTGAAGGCAGCTGATAACTGTCAGACGGTCCTGGCCCCCTCTCTGCCTCCGACACAGAGCCCTCGCCTGAGCC